AAAATTTGATGAATGAGTGTAAGTGTTCTTGAGAGGATTTGGAGAGAGTGGAGATGAATTTAGTGAGTGTGTGTGTGTCTTGTGTTCGGCCGAGAGCAAAAGAGAGAGGAGAGAAGAGAGATCTTTGAGTTGACTTGCATGAAAACATGAGATGGATGCATGGAAAACCTATGGATAAATGTGAGGTGGCATAGGAAAAGTCAACTCTCTTTCTTTTGTGGGTTGGGCCGAAAATGGAGAGGGGAAAAGAGAAAATTGGGCCTTGTATGCTTAAGTCCATATTATGGTTCATTTAGATGATGTTTGGCCCAAATAAATCAAAGTATGATTTTTATGACCTATTAGGGCTAGTTTAAATTGGTTGTGACACAATAAGGCCCATTAAAGTTAACCTAGTTTATTTTAGGCTTATAAGGCCCAAAATATTAAGTTTCATGTATATGGGTCCAATTAGGGCCCATTTGAGAGTTCTATGTTCAAGATAGTTAAATTGGAAGCTTATTGGTCCATTAGGTCCAATAAGGAAATCCTAGTCCAAAATGGACTTAAACCGGGATTTCAAGGGTTTCGAATTCTTTGTTGACTATTTGTAGTGCTTGAATGAAGTATTAGATGAAATTTTGTTGTTATTGAATAAGCATCATACATGCTTTCTCATTGTTGGTTCATAAATGACATAATTGTTGTAGTTACAAAGCATCAAAATTCCTAGTTGTGACACTTTCCCTGTCCACATATCGTGAGGTGTTTTGGCAACCTTTTTAGTTGGGACAAGATTAAGAATATGGGTGGAAGTATCTAAGGCATACCCCTACAATGAAATTAGAAGTGAAGCTCGACTCATCATGTAACGAACCATGTCCACAAGGTTCGATTGCGCCTCTCAACCACACCATTAATTTGTGGTGTCCTAGGAGGGGTCAATTGTCAAACTATTCCACATTCCTTGAGGTAGTCGTGGAACTCGATACTAAGATACTCTCTACCTCTATCTGATCGGAGCATCTTTATCTTCCTGCCCAATTGATTCTTGACTTCATGTTTAAACTCTTTGAATTTTTTAAAGGTTTCCGATTTATGTTTGATTAAGTAAATATAACCATATCTACTATAAACCATTGCCTCTTTCACAAGATCCAGTGAAATGTGATTTTGAAAAGACAAGATTCGCATGCATCATTCAACCTTAGGTCAAATGATTCAAATACTCCATCCTTTTGGAGTTGGGTGATGTGTTTCTTGTCAATGTGTCCAAGACGACAATGCCACAAGCAAGCCTTGTCTATACCATTATATGAATCAATTTGAAATATATTATTGCCTAAATTTTCTACACACGTCACAGTTTCATACCCGACATCACAAGGTAAAGCTTCAAAATAAAAAAACACCATTTTTATAAGCAGAAATATAAACATTCAAACCAATAAATGAATATCTAAACCCTTGTTTGAACAATGCATGAAAAGAAATAATATGTCGTTTCATTTTTGACGGGCAACAATAATTTATTAAATCTAAACAAACACCACTACTAAGCACTAGACTATAAGCTCAAATCTTCATGACAGGTGAAGATCGCCTATTTCCCATGATCAGGCACATTCTACCATGCTCCACCTCCTCACTTCTTCTTAGCCCCTGCAAATAAAAAAAAAGGTGAAATCCACATCCTATATCAAGGACCTAATAACTAAAAGATGATGAGTTATTAGATGAAATAGTGTATATACCTGCAGAAGTTTGCTTCACCTTTCCATCGTTGATATCTTGCAGATACGTCGGGCATCGTCGTTTCCAATGCCCCTTGTCTCTATAGTAAAAGCAAATAACCTCTTTGGGATCCGAAGAGGGTGGGTGATCAGAACTGGACTTTCCTTTGGGGCCACTACTGGATGACCCTGCATGACCAACTCTAAAATGGCACCATCATCATAATCTCGTGGGTATATTATCTCTCTCGCTTACATTAATTTAAGAATTCTTATAAATTGTTAGATTAGTTTATTCAAATGCATGGTGTTTGTAGGGAGGTCATATTGAGGAGCAACTAAATTGTAGTTGGTGGTGCTATTTTTCACCTCAAGTACCTATTTCTGGAAAAATCGATGTTGTAATATTGAATGATTCATATTTTCATTAGTTGTACTTATTGATTGATTGCAATAACCATTAAAGTTATGGAAAATGCTAAAAACCTTCAGAATTTCATGTGTTTGAATTTGCACATTCATTGTTGGTGGTTGATAAAACAAATGCTACTGACAAACATGACTAGGTAACCAACCAAAATTATAGACACTTGCGTTTTCATTATTTTCTTGAATGTTAATTATCTCTTATCTCTCATTTGTTTTAATTTTTTCACACAAAAAAGGAAGCATCTACATTAGGAATCCATGCATTGAGCCAAAGGCCAAAATCCATATCAAGAATCATCTTACACTTTTACATCAATAGGTACTGGAAATGGAAGACTAAAACATTGTAGAAGATGGACCTACAACAATCAGTAACAAACCAATTCTCAAATCTACATCCATGTATGCCTCTGAATATGAAGGCAAGATGCACCTCCTCTTTTCTCTGTCTACATTGTTCAATTGAGCAACTCATCTAAATGATAATGAGTTAAACCTCTTGATTTTTATAGGAAAAATCTACGATCTTGGAGGTTAAGTTCTTGCAGCAAATAGTGCCCCCATTGTTTTCCACTTGGCAAAAGAACTTGTGACTAAGTCTAAAGAAATGGACTTTCATAAATTAGCCCTCATTAACAGTTCAACCGGGAAATATGAAGACATCGAAGTTTCTTATGATTATGTAGCGGTAATATCATTACCCTTTCAGGTCCATATTAGTGTCTTCAACTGTTTCTGACAAATCTTTCTATTTATATTCATTTAAAATGTTGAAATGTTATGTTTTGTAGTTCCTAAGTTCATGGAGAGTAAAAGGCTAAAATATGTTCCAAAATTGTGGCATATGTATAGACTGCTTCTGGATATGGATTTGTTGAAGATATGCCTTATTCTTAGATTCATGAATTCATAAGAACTTCAAAGGCTGGTAAAATAAGATGGTTTAAAGGTGGGTATATGGGATTCTGGCAGAAATTAAGCAAATCTTTCCCAGAGAAGTTCAATGCAACACAAAACAAGGAAGTCAAAACCATGGAATTCGATAAGATCATCATTTATGGATATTTTCTTTTTACAAATGAGAAAATATACAAATCACCAACCTATGTTCCACTAGGTAGGTGCATTGCAATGTGTCTATACTATAATTTTATTCGAGTCATTTGTTCAAACTTAAAATGAATGATTTTATTTCATAGATACCAAACGTTTTCATTTCAAAAGATGCTACTAAACAGTTTCATACAATCACTTATGCAAAATCTTGTTTCGGTCTGCACTAAATATATGTTTTTTTAGCATATTTGGCCTCTTATCGGAACAACTTTGCAAAAGCTTTCTTGATGCAGTGGAGAAAACACAATATGATTGATTTTCAGTTTGTAGTAATGGTAATAAAGAGTGTCATTACATGTTCAAGTCCTCAATGAAGGATTTTTTTAGATTAAAAAACTAAGAAGCTACCTATTGAAGATCAGATAAGATTTCATGTTTTCCACCAAAGTAGTAGTTTTTCTTTATTTATGCTTATACTTTCCAAGTGTTCCTTAAAAGCAATTGACTTGAAAGTTAATTACTTAGTTGGTTGAATAATAGCATTCAGAACCTAATATTCTTGTGCCCAGTGTATATTAATGCATACATATGTGGGTAATAGGCTTGCACGGGAATTGTCTCTACAAACATATTAATATGATATTTTCTAATAATTTTTTAGGTCAATAAAGGAGTTGATAATAACCATTCGATCCATGAGAAGCATGAGCCACATCACTAGTTAGTATTAATAGCTAACTTAGTAGATTTGGAAATCGAGGAACTTGTGTATTTTTAGAAGACTAATGTATTATATGTTTTAAATAGTATACATTTTACTTTGTTGCTTATATTCATTATGTCATTGTATCTCTTTTGACAATTTATCTCTCTTGCTAAAAGATTTTAATGTTTTACGATGTTATTTGCAGAAATTTTAATTTAAATGGTTTTCAACTTGTTTCTAAATGACTGTTTCTAACTACCCATAGGAGATGTGTTTCACTGGCATTGTTATGATAGTCTAAAACAAAGACCAAATTTGCAAGTTAAAACATTTTAGGAATAAAATTATAAAAGCTAGCAAAAGTCGGGGACCATTTTTGTAATATTAGAGTTTTATTTTTATTTAAATGTGTTAACTTTTAACATAAGACAAAAAATTTGTCTTTTTTACGGTAATACATTATTTTAAACTTTATATTTGAATTAGAACATCTAAATTATATTAGTTTTTGTTCTCAATACATAAAATAATGGTTTTTTTTTTCTTAATTAGTTAACTTTTTACATTATTACATGAAATGAATTAATACTAAAGGGTGTGTAGTCTAACGGTATCAAATATTCTCTTTTCTCTTTGAGGTTGATGATTCAAGTCTCGTCTGGAACATAGGTGGTATTAGGAGTAGTTTAATAGAAGTAAAATAGATTTGCCGTTCCAAAAAAAACATGAAATGAATTAATGATTATATATGCAAACGAACTAGATGTATTAATTCTTATAATCATGAGTATCCATGGAGTATTTGTAGTTGCACATACTGGTTCATCGATATCTTAGTTGATATGCCCAAAAGTGATGAAGGTTTTTCATTCATATTCTTTGTATCTTTGGGTTTGATACCTATATTTAAACAACCAATCCTAATATTATCATATGTCGAGGTACATAGAGGGTTCCATATCATCAAATACTAACTTATTTATTTATCTTTTATCAAACATACCACATATAGGCATTCAAAGCCTATTTTTGAGAGCGAATCAAGAACATCAAAGTCTTGAAATCCCATTCAAAGTAGCCTTTTTAGAAGAATGGATCTAGAGTTGACAAGGCCACAAGAATGTACCCATCACATAGTACCTCTTCTCCTCCAAGCTCAAACCATTAAATAGCAAACCATATTGCTGAAGAAGCAAATCCAGTCTCCACTCCTCCATCTTCTCATAATCAACCTTCTGGTAACGAGGGTAATGCAGTGGCATTTGAAAGCCTGATGATGCTTTTTGTTTTTCTTTGGAATCACTGTTTGAAGCATTCAGTCCTCCATAATTAGGTTGCCCCAATAGAATCACACTCCAAGCATAATGTAATAGTGAACTCAAACCCATCTCTCTTTCTATCTCCCTCACCCCTAGCTATCTATCAACGTATATCAAAGAGCAATCATATATATCTTTATATATATGTGTGTGTGAAGTTGGTTTTAGTTCCGATGGCTTGCATGATTGATTTAAGTTTCGTAATCGGAATTTCTGGAATTATTATCTCTTGTTTTACAAGTTATCACAACATAAGGCGCATATGGAAGATTTGCATAGGCCAAATAAGTAGCTTGTAATAGGAGGAATGAATTAAATAAGTATCTAGGGAATTGCGTGTGGGTCATGTATTAAGAGATTTGTTTCTGAAAAACAGTGTATCTTTGTTTTTTTGCAAAAGGATGGCAGTTTTAATTTGCACAATATGTTATCGTATCGTTATATTCTTTCAAACTTTTATTTATATTTTACGACTTTATTTTTCTATATAAAGTTTTTTCTATAGAATACTAGATGTGAGACTCGTGTATTACACGAGTTTATTAAAAATAAAAAGTTTAAATCAATATGTAAACATTAAACATTTTATGGAGTAATTGAAAAAAAAAAGTAAATCAATGAATTTGTAACATTTATATAAATTTATTCTCAAATTAACAAAATCATAACCTTACATGAATAGAATGAGACATTCCTTATATATAACCGTAAATTCTGAAAATTTAATGTAAGAATGAAAAACTTCAAAAAATCACAAGTGGAAAATAAGAAAATAAAAAAAAAACCAAAAAAGTCATGTGACAAAATAAAGGAGAAGAAGACATGTGGCAAAAAAAACATTCATTTATTAAAGAGAATATAGTAATTAAACAAGTATGTATAATTTTAACAAATTAGACTAAAACAAACTTCTGAGTCTGCATAGGGAAGAGCTTAAGATTCTGTTACCTGTGTAAATAAATGCATGCCATCTCTTAATATTTACTATGCTGTCTTCATTATGATTATACTATAAATTGGTGAGGTTGGAATTTGTATAGAGAGTAGAGAGATAGCTTCTTCTTTCCAATGTATTGAAAATTGTTAACTTATAAGACATATCACTACTGGTACAGGGGCCAGTGGTGGCCATGGTCCCCCAAGTTTTTATCTTCTGAATATCAACTAATTATATTATCAATAACTATGCAAATTAATTTTTAAAAAATATCAGACTAACCGGCCCCTCCAGAATGATGGTAAATTAATAAAATGTGGGTTGACAGTTGAGGTGCTATCTATTTATTACAAAAGAATATATATATATATATATATATATATATATATATATATATATATATATATATATATATATCATAATTGCCAACGAATGGCAGCTGTGGTTTGTAAATGCTTGTAAAGTGATCAAGGTCTATTGGTTCATGGAAAGCTAGCTAGGTAATATAAATATATGAGTCACATAGCACTCAGTCAAGTACAAATGCCACAGTTTGATAATCTCTCACTCAGAACTTGGCCACTCCATCGAGTTATTACAGGTACAGGATGCTTTAAAGAGGTACTACGCTTTCACATCGTAGCTGTTTATCTCTCGTTTTCTATTTGTTTTTAACTGTTTAGTTTCTCCGGAACACTTGATCTTTTCCATATATAGGCAAGTAGCTTGTACTTCATCTCCTAAGAGAACGATTTGATAAGTGGTCTTTGTTTTATAGCTTATTCTTGGCATCCATATACAATGTATCTACATAATTGGTTTGTAGGTACATGCTGATCCGATCCCATATATATGCAAGACATGGATATTTCATACAGGAAATCTTGCATGGCTTTTGGTATTGTTGCTGTACTCTTTGGTATGTATACTTTTCACAAAAATTTCATAAAAAATTGTTCTATATCTAGTACAGAATAAAAAGTTTTTTAACTTACTCCGTTTGTTTTAAAACAGGGGTTGTAAGTATCCTAGAAAGATATGTATGTGTTCTTGTCATGATTCTTCTAATGAAGTTGAAACTAATTAATGGTTGGCTAAAACTCTTATCATGAAAGACAGTCACTGTTTCTGAATGCTAAATGCTAATGCAGTATCTAATATGGGCACATATCTCCAAGCAATGCATGCATGCAGTTTATTAGTTTGATTTAATTTGGCGAACATTACGATATAAGATTCTAAATATGAGGAATTAATGTGCAACAGTCCTTGTAATGTTTTCAAGAAATCATCTTTTCCAAGGGCAATGTTTAAGGAGTAGAGAACATGCCTTTTCCAAGAACCAATTCATGACTGCTACCAATAGGAGGCTGTTGGCATTACCTGCAGGTAAACAACAGTATATTAATTCTTAAACAAGGATGTTAATTTTTAAACTTTTCACTTTTTTTGTATGCCTTTTTCTGTTATCATCAGATTACGATATTGGTGGTGGTGATGATGGTTATGGTGATGGTGATGGTGGTAGTGTTGGTGATGGTGATGGTGGTAGTGTTGGTGATGGTGATGGTGGTAGTGTTGGTGATGGTGATGGTGGTAGTGTTGGTGATGGTGATGGTGATGATGACCGTATACAGCCACAGTACTGCTCAGCGGATAACATCTACATATCGCAAGGGCAGACCCCTCCTCTTCCTAGTGGCATTCCAACATACACTGTAATAATTCAAAACATATGCATGTCAGGAAGTTGTATAATCTCAGACATTCACCTGAGTTGTGGGTGGTTTAGCTCAGCCAGGCTGATCAACCCAAACATGTTTAAACGAATATCTTACAACGACTGCCTAGTTAATAACGGAAACCCTATTAGCCCTGGTCAAACTATCTCTTTCCAATATGCAAATACCTACCCTTATCGTATGTCAGTAGCTTCGCTGTCATGCCAGTAATTGGATCCTACCACGTACATGTACAAGTATGATAGATAAAGGTGTGTAGATTGTGTATATTGTTCTTTGTCTTGGTTAGTTATGATAGTTAGGGGCTTACTCTTTGTTTCACAGATAATAAAAGTGTAATTTTGTTTTGATGAAAATTGAGAACAAAAAGTGTCTCGATGCAAGTTATGTTGAATTTCGATAGAAGTTTAAAAAGGGTCGTGTTTCTCCCAACACATGTATACATACAAACTAGACCCGACAAAAACTGACGCAAAACGTCAACCCGACACGAAATAAACATGTAACCGTGTAGTATGCGACATGTAGAAGGTTTTTGACATAAAACGGTGAAGCATAATGCTATAACAGGTAAGGGTATCCTACTATGAGTTATGCGGTGCATAGCAAAAGTGCTACACGGTGCGTATGAAAGTACGATGTTGATTTGGGAGGGTGAACAACATGATGTGTACGGTGTGTATGAAAGTACGATGTTGATCTGGAAGGGTGAACAACATGATGTGTACGTGTTATGCTTTACATGATGCAACTTAATAAAAGGTGGTTTGTTCGTATAAGTTATGCAATGCATAACCGATAATAGAGGAAGTATTTATCATGCCTTGAGCTAGTCATTTTTATCATCTTTCTTCCCATATCAGTTCCAAAACGTTCCCACAACGATTTTGAGGTTCTGAGGTCGATTTTGAAGAGCAAATACAAAAAATAAAAAATTTAAATTATAGAAGTGGAATAATGTGCCATTTCTTTCTTTAGTCGAGCTTTTATGGTATATCCATGTGTTATGGGTGATATTTTCATAACTTTATTCTATTATGCCTAACATCTTGAACTTGTACTAACATCTTGAACCACCCAAGATTTTGAATAAGCCAACATCTTGGGATTGCGATTGTATTTCTTGTGCCTGACTAAAAGTTTATCTCAGAAGGTATAGACTAAGTCAATTAAGCATGCGGTCAACAAGAAAAGACGTTGAGTCTCCCCGAAATACCTGGTCAAGGAACAACAGGAAAAATCTCGGATTTTTAAGGAAGTTATTTAGATATCAAATATATAAATAGAGGAGCCCAGATCATTTCACACATGTTCACTACTAATAACACACATACACTTGGTCACTCTCACTACCTCTGAATCATACTACTCATGATCAATTTGTACTTGTAACATTTTTGCTTATTTCTAAATAAAAGTTCTAAAGGCAAAGTGACATTAGTCACCTCCCAAGATTTTATGCCAGAGGTCATAAAGGATTAAGGGTCTTCCTCGTATATTATTATGTTCTTGTTCTTACATTTATGTTTACATTTATCTCTAACTTATTTTGTTTATAAACCAAGATCTGAGTTATATTTATACAAAGCATGACATTGTGTGTGATCGAGTCTTGAGAATAAAAGTGTGATCCTGCATTATTGAGTGAATTGCATACTAATGTAAAAGTAAAATTTGACTAGCCTAGGATACCCCCCCTAAGAAGATTAGCTAAACTATAATCGGATGGTACCTCTCTTTGTGAAGTAGGAGTCTTTGATGAGTCGATAACAGTATGATTTGTTCTCTTGTGGTGGTCGGTATTAAAGTCACACAACACGACCTGATCCTTAACGAACCGAAGCTATGAAATGGAAGACCATGCCAAAGTAAGCTATGAAAAGGGAGAACATCCCAAAGTAAGCTACGAAAGGAGAGAACATCCCAAAGTAAGTAATGAAATGGGAGAGTATCCTAAAAAGGTAATGAAAATGAATAGTGAAACGGGGTGAAACCCATAAGACTGCATTATATGAGAACATGCATTGCATAGTTAGTGAATTGTTTTAAAGTATTAAAGTTTATGAAAATGATAGCTTTACTAGATATTTGTAAAGTTATGAAAGTTTGTGAAAGGGAAAGTTTTAGTAAATGTTGTAAATGTTTGGATCTAAACCCATATTACTCACCAAATAATGTTGTTTGGTATATGTTTTATTTTAAGTCATGTATCTCAGGTTCAGGTGTGAAGGATTAGAAGGCTGTGGCCATTAGCAGTGAACTTTTGAAGGATAAAAATCGAACATAGTTTTTATCGTATGTATGTATTCACTTCTTACTATGGTTTTCTCTGTAACATCAAAAAATTTCAAGACTAAAAATTTCATTTTTAATTAAGGAATTACAAAACCATTAGTTCAAAAACATTCATAATATCATCCATGTCAAAACCCAATATGTCACTAGTCAAAACATGTCATAGTAAAACAACATCAGAGTATAACTCCCGAAGATCTCATGTGCGGAAACTATGGTGTGATGCGTTGCAATCATGTCGGTTCCTTTCCCTTCAAAGAAGAGGTACCTGAACCTAAAACTGGAAATCGTAAACACGAAGCTTAGTGAGTTTCCCCGTCATACCACATACCATACAACAAATGCATTGCCAAGCATATCTGGGTGCTGGCCTCCCCTTCGGTCTATTTCAATCGGATACTTCCGAGCATATCTGGGTGCTGGCCTCCCCTTCGGTCTATTTCAACCGGATACTGGGTCTATTTCACCCCTACCACTACCACATAATATCGTAACAAGTAAGCACATAAAACATAACAGATAGTGGCAAGCCAGAAAATTATCACAAAGACAATCATCTCTACTACAAAACTACTAGTGGGCCGGAATTGGTGCCTTCGACCCACTCATACAAGAAGGTAACTCACCTCATACTGCTGAAGTTCCCTGCAAGAAATCCTTAGTTGTTGTCATGGCAACTCCTCGAGTTATCAATACCAAAACATCGCCCAATTAGCAATTAGGTCCCAACCCATGATCCATAATCCATATTTGGGGTAAAATAACCATTTTACCCCTGGCCCAACAAAATTCATAACTAAGGCCCAAGCCAAAAACCATACGAGTCCAAAACTCCAAAATTCATAAATCCCACTAATGGCCCAATTTTCCAAATTGGGCCCAAACCCTTGCATGGGCCTTACCCAAAAGCCCAATAACTTAAACCCAATCCAAACATACCTCCTTAGCTGGTCCAACAATCCATAAACCCAAATAATAGCTCAAACCCGAAATGGACCACGAGGCCCAATAAGGCCCAATCCATAATGGACCTAATCCAAGAAGGCCCAATATCCAAAAAGGCCTGAAATACTGAATGGTCAACCCTAGTCAACTCCTGGTCCAAGGTCCAAAGCCCAAAAAGTCAATAATCCAAGAAAACCCAATGTGGTCGAATAAGCCCCGCGTACTCAGCTGGTACGCCCAGCGTACACCCCTTTGGGCCAGTACGCGCAGCGTACCAGTTGGGTATGCCCAGCGTACTCCTCTGAATTCCAAACTTTTCCAATAAGTACCTAACCACTTCAGCCCTTGCTCCAACTCTCCAGTCTGACTCCTAAAGGTGACTTTTCAAGTAAAGTTGGAAACTTTACTAACATGCATGGCTTAATGGGACTCTAGAGCTTAAAAAAGCTTAATGAAAGGTCTTAACAAATGCATGAACCTAAATAAATCATAAAGATTACATTTGTATGCCTTTGGGACTCTTAAAACGTCCAGGTCCACAATATCAACTTCTGAAACAACTAGAGCTCACAAGATCCACCCAAAAGATGCTAAAATGGTTAAGAACAACCCCAAAAGATGATCTATGAAATGAGAAGACAAGATCAAATATTTTTACCTCCAATGGATTGAATAAGGTGAGAACTTTATGGATCTAACAAGCTTCCTCCAGGAAATGAGCCATCAACTTTCTTCTTCTCTTACACAAACCACCATGAACACTCTTCTCCAAGCTCCAAAAGCTCACTCAAGGCACTCTAGGGTTTCTATGATGCTAAAAGGGGTGGAGGTTGATCTGAAATGACCCAAGGAAGCATATAATGTTTCTTATATAGGCCACAAGTTGAGATATTAGGGTTTTGGTCGGAAGGGAGTATGCCCCGCGTACCCATTTGTACGCCCGGCGTACTCAATGACCACCCGGCAATCATCCTCCTTCATACGTTGGGCGTACCCAGCTGAACACGTGCACGCATCCTTGCATGCATGGGACTGATCTGCCAAGTATTTCCATTAGGGGCAAATTTTGCCAAAACCTTTAAAGTACCATAACTCCCTCATTCTAAGTCCGTTTCCGACGAACTTTATATCCACGGAAAGGTGATGAGAAGCCCTACGCTTCTAGAAACTCACCCTTGCCTAAAAACTTCCCGAACAAGAACCCAAAATCCATAAAAGGTCGAAATCTCAAATTACGATTATACCCTTGGCCTCCGAAGACACAATCGCACACTTGGATCACTTAACCATGTCAACTACATCAAAAATGGGGTAAACCCTTCCTTTCCCGAAGCCCTAAACCCTATGACAACTGATGATTGGGCCGCAGCCCCGAGCAACGAAGCACTTTCAAAACCGGGTGTTACATTCTCTATATCGATTCTAACGCCTATTGGAAATATGTTTTGAAATAAAATTTAAAGCCGTTTGTTTGGTTATTGCAAGACCAGATTTTTTTAATTATAACTTAATTGTTATAAGATGTTTTAAAACCATAGTATCTTGTTTTATGAAAAATGGGGTGTTACGAGTTACTACAAATTATGAATTAACTGTAAACATTTGTAACATCTCAAACAAAATGTAAGATAAAAATTCCATTTCTAATTCAACCATAAAACCCCATTTAGTATTTCCAATCATTCAAAAGATCATTAAGATGAAACAGTTATCAGAATACAATCCCAAAATCATAAAGTTGCGGAAACATGGGTGGATACAATGCAGTATGTAGGGCCCTTCCCTTTTGTACTAGAAGTACCTGAAACCATAAACAACAAACCGTAAGCACAAAGCTTAATGAATTTCCCAAAGTACCACATACCATATATACAATAGAGAATGTTATGTGCCAACCATAGTCTTGTCATTATGCCACGAGCCATATTATGGTCTTTCCTTGCCAGGTCGGGGGCCAAAACCCTGGGTCT